GGGGGATGGTCTGTATACATCATTCTTGTATGTATCAAATCATGAGCACAGATAACGTCCACTAGAAAACCTCAAGTAGTAAAATAAATTACCATATATCAACAGTCCTGACAAATGAACCGAACCCGCTCCCTCTGAGTATGGGGCTGCTTAGGGTAAAATGGGTGGTGAGGTTTAATAAACAGCAAAAAGAGGTGAGGGCTAGACTGTGCAAAAAGGAGTGGGCTGTGTGATCCTGGACAACTTACTGACCTTTCTCAACATCAGTTTTGTCATCTACATGACAGATGTCCTTCCTTCCTTGACTGACAGCCTTGGAAATCAGATTTTAAAAGGCATTTTAAAACTAAGCACAAAGCACACATCCCTCTAATTCAGAAACATCAACTCAAGGAATCGTCATAATAAAATCTGAACTTCACAAATTCTGGGTCTTTGTCAATTGAGATCTAACATGTGTAACAGGGAGTTGGAAATACTCTACATTCTGCTGGATCTCACTCAGAGGATGAAGATTCCCATTGCTAAACAGCAGCTGTTTCCGAACAGAGAATCCTCAGCGTCCCCGCATCTGAAGCCCAGCAATGAACTCAGGCACCTGATGACTGTTTGGCTTATTAGATCATGCTCAGTACTCTACTGATAATACCTTGTTTGGGTTACAGTCTTTAGACATCTACCTATCCACCTAAGTATATGCAAACACTTTCTAATTTATCGAATTTTCAAGCTTGAAACCAATCTTAAGAATACTCTAGTCCACGGGCTGGCAAACGATGGCCCACAGGCCAAATGCGGCCCACCACCTGTACTTGTAAGTAAAGTTTTATTGAAACACAGCAACACCCAATTCTTTGCTATGGCTGTTTCTCCACACGACAGCAGAAGTGAGTAGCTGTGGCAGAGACTATAAAATGTTTACTGTCTGACCGTGACGACTCTTACAATCCCTTCCCTCAGTGAGAAACGGAGGCCAGGAAGGAAACGGCTTGTTTAGGTCCCACAGTGGGATCAGACCCAGCTCCAGGGCTTGGAATAACTTCTACCTCCCCTCTGTCCAATGACAACACCAGAAGAGCCACTCAGAAGGCGGGGGTGGCCGTCCAAGTTAGCCGAGACCTTAGGCCAATGGCCACACTTCATGATCTCATCTTAAATATAAACAAGTAACAACATCCCTAATTTGGGGTGGGGCTGGGGGTAGATCTTCTGGGAGAAAGGTAGTAGAAAAGCACAAAAGGGTTTACAGGCCTCCAATTTGAGTTATTTAAAGCTCTCGGTGTGTCATTCCACACCCACTCCACTTACAGTAATGACACATTTAAACTCCCTTAGCTCAGCCCCACGATAGCAGTCTTAGCCATCTTGATTGCCACCTGAAATAAACAGTTGAAGCAGCTGCTACCTTGGGCAAGAAGGGATGCGGGAGAGGAGAGAGGAATGACGGCGAGGGAAACTTAAAAAGAGAACAGCAAACCCTAAATGGAAATTGGAGAAGGATGGAAAGTTCTAGACTCGGAGGAAGAGGAGGGAGGGTGTGAGTTCTGGCTGTTATACTGCCTTACCTGGGTGATCTAGCTGTGACTTAACCTCTCTGACCCTTGCTGTCCACCTTCTGAAAATGGGCTGATGATACCAAAACCCACTGAGCAGATGGAATGCGGCAATGCATGGGCAGGTGCCCAGCACTGCCCGGGGCACACGAGAGGGCACAAGCTTTCCCTTTGCTCTGCATCTCCCTTCCCTACATCCTATAGCTCTATCAGCAGAGAACGGGGCCCAGAGTTCAGGTTCTACTATCAGACAAGCCTGGAGGGGGAGTCTGCATCCCACTCTATCTTTCAGGGGGCTGTGACCTTGAGTCAAAGACTTAATAATCTACAAATTGGGCAGCACCCCACCAGCCTCCCGGAGAAAAAGTAAATGATGTAAAATAAGTCAATGGCTTGACCCAGTATCCAACACTTAGTATGAACTCACTACATAATAAAGTCACACTCCCTAATTTGCAATAAACCAACTGAAAAGAGCCCCAAACAACTTTACAGAGTCAGGAACACGTGTGTGTGTACTTCGTGTGTATGTGTGTGTGTGTGTGTGTACTGTGTGAGTGTGTGTGTGACTGTGTGTGTGTATACTGTGTATGTGTAGTGTGTGTGTGAGTGTGTGTGTGTGAGTGTGAGTGTGTGTGTATACTGTGTGTGTAGTGTGTGTATGTGTGTGTATACTGTGTGTGTAGTGTGTGTATGTGTGTGTATACTGTGTGTGTAGTGTGTGTGTGTGTATACTGTGTGTGTATAGTTGTGTGTGTGTGTGTGTGTGTGTGTGAGAGAGTGTGAGAGAGAGAGAGAGAGAGAGACAGAGAGAGAGAGAGAATGTGTGTGTGTGTGTGTCTCCCCTACTTCCTTCACCCGGAATACAAACCACTGAAGGGTAGATAAGTCTGCCAACTCACCCGTCACCTCCCTTCCAGCTGCTGGATTTACTCTGCCCCAAGGCCCACATCAGAGTCTCCCTCCTTTGATCATTTGGATTCAACTGAATTATTCCAGGATCCTGAGGGGTGAGGGGCCTGCCCAAGGGACACCAACGTGACACCAGCCGCCAGACAAAGGAGGAATGAGTTATTCTGAAGACAGACCCAGATGATACACGGAGCAGATGTATGAAACAAGCTACTAAAACATGAGCACACAGAGTGTTATGGGTTTGATACAGTCAAAAGCGCTCTAGCCTTTTTATTTAAAATATATTGTTATTGATTTCAGAGATGAAGGGAGAGGGAGAGAGAGAGTTAGAAACACCGATAATGAGAGAGAATCATTGATCGGCTGCCTTCTACACACCTCCTACTGGCGATCGAGCCTGCAACCCAGGCATGTGCCCTGACCAGGAATCGAACCGAGACCTCCTGATTCACAGGTCAACACTCAAACACTAAGCCCCGCCAGCCGGGCACCTCCCTAATCATTTAATGAAACACTTGATAAATTTACCCATCCTGCTGGACTCCACAAATGTTCCTGCAAAATTAACTGAACGGCTTCAGACCGGGCAAGGGCCTGGCCAGCGAAGATGGTGAGGCTGCCTCCTGGGCCCAGCCAAAGCTTGCAGAGCCTCCCACTGCTGGCATACTGGGTCACAACTGTGAGCGTTAATGAAAAAAACGACAGGAAGACAGAAAGAGAGAGGAAAAGAGAAAGAGAAAGAAACCAAGAGCTGGGAACGTGCAGAGATGTGCAAGCAGGAGCCTGTCAGGAATATGCTAACAGCCCATCTGGGAAGCATCAACTTCCCTGACACCACAAACAGGCCCATGAGATTCCAAGGCAGGTTATGGCTCGAAAAGCAAACCCACCTCATGTTTGCAAACACTACCCCTGGCCTGTCTGAAAGGCGGGACGGTAGCAAAGAGGCTCACACTCCAGAGCCTTCCATTACGCGAGCTGGACTTGTCTCCTTTAATTATTTCCAAGCTCTCTCCCTAGGCAGGGTGGGGCTGGGCGATGAACACATCCCCCCTGGTGCTCTCAGTCCGTCTGGAAGAGAAGTACGATAATGCATAGGATCACCCCCCACCCACACACTCGGCTATTCTTCAGAACCGGCCAGAGTGAACCAGCCCCCGACCGGCGCTGCAGACAGTGCCGTGGGGAAGGTGTCATCCATGACCGACCTGGAAGGGCAGCTCAGTGCCATTCTGAATGCAAGGCTGGGCTGGAGGAGGCTGGGTCTCTTTGTTGCATGTTCTCCCATCCATGAAGAAATTGATTAATACCAGAGACAAAAAAATCTCCATTTAGAGGCTACATAGAGGTCAGGACACTCTTCCCAGACAGCAGCTCAGACTGGACACACCTGGGGACAGGATCATCCCTGCCCATCGCCTTGGGCAAATGAATAAGCACAGAACCTTCAGACGGGGCAGTGGGCACAGTACCGCTGTGCCACCCAAGACAAGCGTGACAGCGATTGGAGAGGTGCAGTGGGGGAAGTGAGGAAGCTTAGAACAGGAACAGGGCCGTCTCACGGATGGAGCCCTCTGCCATGTCAGCCTCTCAGCCGGGGCTGGGGGGAACGGGGGGACACAGACATGTGCAGAAGGAACCATCTCACACCTGGCTCCCAGGATACTGCCTACAACTACGCACAGATACAGGAAGCAGAAAGCTCAGACACTTGGCCTGCCAGTCTCCTGGGACATAGGGGCCAAAGGGGTCGGTCCCCCACAAGCTGCCCTGCTGAGGCCCTGAGGCAGCATGGCCGTCTGAGGCAGCATGTCATCCTTGGAAGAGCCCCCTCTCCAAGGCACCCCTCTCCCCCACCAACTAGAAAGAGGCCGAATCACATAAACACAGCACCATGGTTCCGCATCCCGTCTGTCTGTCGGACTCCATCTGTCTGGCACACACACTCTCACACTCCTTTTTCTGACTGATCTGGGGCATTCCGTGTTGCTCTCAGCCAGTTCCAGCAGCACAGCCTGGGGGGTTAACTCTGCTGCTGCCTCCCAGACATTCTGACAGGTACAGGCCCAGCATCCTTCCCAGGTTTCCTTGGGCACTTGACAGGGAAGGGTTTAGCTGCAAAGGGCCCCAGGGGGCCTCCTCTCTCCACCCGTGATTCAGAAAGGCACAGAGGAAGCCAGCCGCCTCACAGGCTTCCAGCAGCTTCTGTGGGAGCCCCTACCCTGTGACTCAGGCCCGAATCCCTCCCAGCTTCTGCCACCGCCAGCTCCCAGCCCCGGCCCCAAGTGGCCAGCAAATGCCAGCACCACCGCGCTCAAAGGCCACTCTGTCTGCTCCTGCAGGCACGTGGGCACTGTGCCAACCGCAGGCTGGGCTCTTCCATCTCAGCTCCTGCCGAATTTCACTTCCATCTTGATGGCCAAGTTCAAGGGCACGGCTTTTGAAGGACACAGCTGTGGCAAAGGCAGGGGCCACGGCAGCCACTTCTAAGGACTGATCAAGCGCATCTGGGCACTCCGACGCACTGCCTACCTTGCCAAACTGCTCGAAATATTGCTTTACATCTTCCACCACCGTGTTCGCAGATAACCCGCCTACGAATATTTTCTTCGTTCTTGTTACCATCTGCAAGAAATAACAAGAGGCAGACAGGGGTTAACCAGGTTATCTGGAGCAATGCTTGCCAAGACGTTGAAACAACCCACTTTCCACATTTCTCTAGGAAGGCACTTTTAGACAGGTCCAAGGTGCAAGAGTGGGCCCCGCAGATGTCCCGCGGTGCTGGAGACAGTCCGTCTGGAGATCTTGGGCCTCCAGGTCGCCACCCAGAGGCTCACATTTCCAAAAGGCGCAGAGTGGCTCTCAGGACCCCCTTAGCCATAGTGCACAGCTTCATCCTGACGTACTGGCACAGAGAGAAAACTCGCGGGTCACAGCTATTTAAACCTAAGAGACATGAACAAAACAGAACTACGTGCACAAAAATCCGCTGCCTGGAGAGTACCCATAAAACCTGCCAATAAGAAAATCACACGCGATCCAAACATGTGTGGACTGTCCACACTCAGCTGTTCTGGGTGGTGGTAGATGTCAGCCAACAAGACAGACACTGGCCTCACACACAAAAACCACCCTCCCAGCTCGGTCCCCAGTCCTCCTTCTTTTCTTGATTTCCCATGATTCACCCTACACACTGAGTCAAGCCCAACTCATCCCCAGGTCTCCACACCTCTCTCCACCTAAGTCCCTCCCCACGCCTAAGGCTCCCATGGCAAGTCGTGACCATCCTCCAAGATCCAATGACCTCCAGAATTCAAAACTCCTATACATTTGCCCAATGGAGCGTGTTCTTCTTCCTCTGAATTTCCCCTAACACTGTACCATCAGCCTTCCCCAGCACTCACCACATTCTACCCAGTGCTGAAGGCATCGATAACCCTGGCTTCCTTACTTCCTCCCCCAGAAGGTGGGCTACTGGTTGCTCCCGGCACCCCGCAATGCCACGTACAGGTCCAGCCGGGCACATGGAGCCCAGAAATGTCTGGTGGAAGCAGAAGTGCGTGTGTGTGGCCACATTTCAGGATCCCACCAGTTCCAAAGCAAAGGAGGAAGGACGCTCAATGACATAAACTATTCAGAGCAGCAGAGACCAACCATCTTAACAAGGAGGAGCCGGGAAGAAAAAAGAAAATAAAGTTTATTCTGAAGCCTGAGTTGAGGCTATGTGGGTTTTTCTTTCTAATGTCAAATAGAAAAATTAAAGACTCAGTGGGTACAGGGTCTCGCCAGTTTGGTTGCATGTAACAAAAAACACAATGTCTTAACTCGGGAGGAGTCCAGTCACAGTGTACACATGTATCAATTCACCAGGCCGTATGCTGTAAATACCTGACAAAAAGGCGCTGGACACCTGCTTCCGGGTCTCGGTCTGGGTGGGACCCTGGGCAGGACTCCCCCTGAGGTCTGGGCTCTGTCCTCTGCACAGTGAAGTCCTGCTCCAGGTCCTGCCTAACTCTGAACTCTCACGAACCTACACGCCTGGGCCACTACGGAGGCGGCTCCCAGGCATCAGGGAGCTCACGCTTCAGCTTAGCGACCCCCAGAGGGGACGTGTGCCACCACAGCCTGCTGCCTGAGCCCAAACGGGAACATCCTAGGAAAATAATGGACTTCCTGCACTATTTTAAGAGGACACTGCCCTAGCAACTTCCTGTCGGCTGTGAGAGCCAGGCCGCGGTTTGTACTTGTGTGCAGAGCTGTGATTTACTGTTCTTCATCTGCCAATGAATGGGGCGTAAGACGCGATCACGCAGGTGAGGACAGTCTATGAAGATCCCCCCAGTGCCCACACCACCAAGCCCCAAGAACCTCTTGTTAAGTGGTGCCCCTTACTGTCCACCCCCCTTCTTATCCATCCCTTAAGTCTCTGCTGGAACATGGTCACCTTTGTGGTGAAACTCCAGCAGGCCCCTTCAGATTCAAATCTCTCCTTACACTCACTAATCTCCAGATTTTACTAACCTAACTTTCCTAATGTATTCATTCAGCAGATATATTAATTGCTAGGTGCTGGACCTTACATTTTAATATAATACGGAATTTAATCCACTATAAAATGGAGATAAAATAATTAGACTACCACACAAGGTTCCTATTAGGAATAAATTAAATAACATGTCAAAGTGCCTAGTGGGACACCAGGTAGATACTAATAAATGGTCACTGTAACTGATTCTAACTCAATTGCTAAATGTATCCTTCAAAGCTCAGAATAAATGTGCATCAGAAAGACACCTTATACAGGAAACTTGATAAACTTACCCTCACTGCCCCCTCTCCCACTATCATGTCAAAACACCCTCATGCATCTCTACACGATTTCAGATGGGTAAAGACTCCCAATAGTTTCATTTTAGATTTTTCATTCATTTTTTTTAACCCCAGCCAAGTAACTATATATCTAAAAAGAAACACTAACGTGATTTAAGAACATGCGCAAGTGGAGTGTTTGACGTAAAGAAACTCTGGGGAGGCATTCATGGTCTCACCCACACATTGTTTAGAGCAGGTGGGTACAGAGCAGGCCTTATTTATACTCCAAATGTGCACATGGACCCAGAAAATTAAACAGTCAGGGAATCGAACCAAATAACATGAATCAACAGAATGCTCATTCCCCAGTAACTGGTTAAATGGAAAGGTCCCCTTTTGCAGCCTCCACTGTTGCCTCAGCCGTAAACTTGCCAAGACTCGGAGTCCTAAACACTGGGGCAGACACCCAGCTATAAATCTACGCAGTCCTAAAAAAATATTTAAAACACTTTTTTTTTCAAAGAAAGATGAGAAATCCCAGGCCCCAGCCAATGGGGCAAAGTATTCAAGTTACTAAAACATCCTCTCCGGGAACCAGCTCAGCTACGGTGATGGATCCCACTCTGCAGCAAACACGAAAAGGAAACTGGTTTAATCAAAGCCTTCCGAACGTGAAAAGGCCAGTGGGAAGATGTGCAACACTCGGTTAGCTGCTCACCGATGCCTGGGCTGCAGGAGAGAGGAGCATGGCTGGGGGCAGCAGGGCTCTGCGTGTGACCTCTCCCACTTGGGGTGCGCAGGGAGGAAGGGGGGTGATTTGCTTGGGGAGTTCTGGTGGCACCGCTGCTAAATGGACTGTGCACTGTTTGAGGGTTTGCATCCTGGAGAGGGATTTGGGAAGCAGGCAAGGACTCTAGAATCACACATTTTCCCTCCATTCCCCCTGCATCTCCACAGCCGCCAAGGAGGGCTGGGCAGGGAGGGGACAGGGCGGCGACGTTGTGTCCAGGTTCTCGGGGGACAAAATGGAGGTCCTCAAATTCTCACCAATAGTAGCCAATTTTCTGTGTGTGTGTGTGGGGGGGGGGTAACTCTAATCCCAATACTTGAGTCTTAGCTTCTAGTTGCCCCAGGAACCATCTGGTACCCCCAGAACTTTAACCCTCTTCTGATCTTGAACACAGTGAGCAGGACAAGTTCCCACTGCTCCCTGACGCTAGTCTGTGCATTTTTTAAAAAAGTCCTCTCCAGCCACCTCGCAGACACAGAGCCACCTGTGTCGTCTTCCTGTGTGAGCCCGCCCGGGTAACCGTTCCCTAACCCACAGCCTCACACCGATGCGGCACTTAACCACACAAGGTGGGGGAAGCCAGGCGCTGCACACCCAGCCTGCTCAGCCGGCCTGCGTGCCCCCGGGGTGCACCTGGATGGAAAGAGCTGCCCATCTGCTCCAGAGAGAGAGCACAGCCCAAAACCCATTAGGGAACTCATCTTAGATTTCCTTGGCTTGGAGTTCTTGGTGGAGGGGTTGCAGAAAACACTGCAGTGTGCAAATGCTTCCCACTCTTAGAGACACCAGATACCCACCAGGAGCCCTGCACCTCTGGGGGACAGCCTGCCCTCAACAGATGCCCTCCTGTGGTGTAAGGCAGCACTCCGGGAAGTGGTGTGTGTGTGTGTGCACAAACATGTGTGTGTGCACGTGCACAAATGTGTGTGCATGCACACGTGTACGTGTGTGTGTGTGTGTGTGTGTGTATCACGCATAAGGAAGTGGGGAGTGTTCAGACTCACAACGCAACGCTGCAGTCTTACATCTAGACCCATAATTTAACTAAACAGCACTGCTCTCTCCACAAACCTCTTGGCTCCACAAAGAAAACCCCAGCACCATTCCAGTTCAGAAAATTGCTGTTTACATGACAGAACTGGCCGACGCCAGCTGCTAACTGGAGTTGCCTAGAACATGTCATCTTCCTGCCTCTGACCTGAGAGCTGGCTTTTTTTTTTTTTTTCAAATTTATACATTCCCTTTTTAAAAATGTGTGGCCATCTGAAATGGTCCCTCAGAGAGGGGCCCATATGGTTGTATTTTTATAAAAATAGGATAAAGCAGGTGTGTGTGTATTCGGAGTACGGGGTGAAAAGAGAAATTACACTTAAAATGAGACTGAAGGAGAAAACTTAGCTCCAACAACAGCACTAGCCCCAAAATATTAGTTGTCACACAAGGAAACAGCAGCAAATATTTCTTAATCCTGACAAATGCATAAGAAGGCAGGAAACAGCTTGGGGGAGCGTTGAGTGGGTATGAGAGAGGTCTGGAGAAATTGTCAGCTCTTGCCATCATCATGTTCCTGAAAAGAGTTCAAATTCCCCTGCAACAAATGAGCCATGCTCACTGCTCAGGAACACAGGCACGTTGACCGGTGCTCTCCCATCTCTGGGAACTCCAAGGTGAGAGAACCCAGGAAAGATGCTCGAATTCTGGCGCTGGGTGGACCGGACTGTCCACCATCCCATAATGCAGACGGAAAAATCAAGTCCCGGTGGGATGACTCAGGTGATAGTTAAAGCCAAGGCAGAGTTACAGGGGTTAAGTTGGCTGATACCATGTGATTTCATCCCAGATTCTGAATTTGTTGAGCACGTGGCTGTCCTGTGTCACTCTGCATTTGAGAATTAAACCCCATCTTTATGTGGCAAAGTTCTATCCAGGCTGGCCGACATCACTGCAGTCCTAAGACTCCAAGGCTCCACGATCCTTAAGGTGTTTCTTCCAAGGGGCCTATCCCCCAAAATTCCTAAGTTCT